CTGCCATGGCGAGCTGGACCGACGCGGGAAATCAAATGCAACACTTTAAAATCAGAGCCAACATTTAAAATTAGGAGGATGATGCATGTCCTACTGTGATTCAAGGAGAAAGGACAAGTTCTTAACACAGTAAAACAAAACACAAAAGGTAAACAAATCTTTAGAAATCACTAGATGTGTGTGTGTGTGTGTGTGTGTGTATTTATATAATTAGGATTATCATCAACATTTAAAACTATTAAAAATAAGGTTGCCACCTTCACTTTTCTTTCAGTACCGGGGTGTTATTTTTTTAGGAAAAAAAAAAAAGGCTTCGCCCCAACCCTCAAGTTGCCAGACCCCAAGCCCGCTCTGTGCTGTACAACGCCCCCCTCCCCCACGCTGAGCCCCCAGAGCGCCGACACCCAGTCCTGCTGTCGTCCTGGCTGTCAAGATGACAGGCCCACAAAAGCACAGCTGAGAGCAGAACTGCATTCTTCCCCAGGAAGAAAACACATTTGCCCACAATGGGTCTACAGAGTCTTCCAAAGCACCTCGTTGGTGGCTTGATAACCTGTTCATTTTGCCCAGAAGCAAGATGGCAATCTTAATCAAAGAGGGAAGCTAGATTTTTTTAAATAACTTAAAAAAAATCATTTTTATATAAAGCAGCAAAAACATCTTTTCCTCTCTGCAGAAAGAAAAATGTGAACAAGAAAACACAGCGATGTAAATGGACGGTTCATAAACTTTTGCTCAACTCAACCCCCCCACCAGACGGCACCTCCTCTCAGGGCTACTGCTCTCTACCACGCTCAGTGCTATCTGAAGAAGATTCTTTGGTGCCTTCAGTCGCTCTTTTACTTTCCTCCTGATTTAAATTTCCCTTTTCTGACCTGGTCCCGTTGGGGATAGAGTTTTCGCCATTCACAAGCCCGTTTTCCACAGCCTTCACCCTGCCGACGGCCTCGGTGAGGGTGAGGGCCTCCTGCACCCCAGCCTCCTCCTCCAGGCTCCGCAAGGCCAGGGGCAGCCTGGCGCCCCCCGTGCCACTCTCCTCACACCGGGGCAGCGGGGCCCCCGCCTCCACCTGCTTGCGATAGTGCTCCCGATTCGCAGCCGCGCTCTTCACCGCTTTCTCCAAAATCTCTTTTTCTCCTAAGCGCAGCTTGATGGCCATTGCTGCACGAACAGAAAGGTCGTGGTTTTTCAAGAAGGATTTGTCTTCCTGGAAAACAAGAAAGAGCAAAATTAATTATAAGAAGTCTAAATCAGCAAAAGTACAGCGACAGAAGGCAGATCAGCTGTTGCCACGGATGGGGGCACGAGGGAAATGTGAGGGGTGACGGAAGGTTCTAGAACTTGATTCTGGCGGTGGCTGCAAGACTATGCGCTTATATCAAAATGTACACTTTAGAAGCGTGGGTTGTATTTAAATTACACCCCGAGAAAGTGACCATAAAACCAAAATGGTGAGCCTAAATCAAACGGTGTCCCACCACATCTCACAGGGAACTTGGCTTATTTTATTTTATTTTTTTTTTTTTTAAAGATTTATTTATTTGAGAGAGCGAGAATGAGAGACAGAGTACATGAGAGGGGAGAGGGTCAGAGGGAGAAGCAGGCTCCCCGCCGAGCAGGGAGCCCGATGCGGGACTCGATCCCGGGACTCCAGGATCATGACCTGAGCCGAAGGCAGTCGCTTAACCAACTGAGCCACCCAGGCGGGAACTTGGCTTATTTTAAAAATCATTCCTTGTCTGTCTCGCGTGCACTGCCAGCCCCAGGGCTCGGCACTGGGCTGAATGAATGAATGAATGAAGGAACGAGATGCATGTGAAGTTAGTGGTGCAATGGTAAACCTGGAAAGCACAAATGAAAACTCAGAATTACAGGAAAAGTGTTGAGTAATTTTTAAAAATTCATCTTCTAGTCAACAATGCCTCAAGAGGATTCTTTTGATAAGTATAAATGTGTTAAATAAGAAAATATTAGTAAGTTGAATGAAAAATATCCGATATACAACGATTTTGCTAATGAAAGTCATTTACATGTAGGAAGGAATCTCTTTTTAAAAATCCCTGAAAACATGACAAAGCTCAAATCCTCACTGAAGCGATCTAATTACCTCAATAGTTGTTTTGTATGTTTTTAAAAGAAGCGAGGCTCGATCTTCAAGAAATGTCCAAAGTCTGACCTCATTGTCCCAGCTAACGGGATATTCAGAATTACCCAAAGTGAAGATTCTGTCGAGAGCATTATCTCCCAGCAAATGTTCCTTCAATTCTTCTGCAGAAATACAAACAGCCATCTGTGAGGGAGGAAACAGCACGGCTTCTCATTTTAACAAGCAGCCCACCTTGGAAAAGATCTTCCCCAGTGACGTCACCCGCCTGTGGTGAAAAGCTCTCCGGGATCGATGGGCCAGGCCAGGCCAGGCTCTCCAGAGTAAGTCACTACTAGCTTTCCTGATTGGGAGTCCATACCAAGCCTTGGCGCGGCCCTCCATCTCTCATTGCTTTTATGAGGGACACTGAGAGCTTTTAGACAGTTTCACAAGATACGTCTTAAGGACAAATCTACAGGGACACGTCCCTTATTCTGACGACAGCCTTCTCGCAAACCACGCACTCAGTCACACCAACGGGGTCAAACAGACACTCAGGTGAACAATGTAAATAGTACAAACGGGTGACAGCACAACAATCCAGTGACCCTTCTAAATTTACATCAGATTGGTGCTCATGGCAGCAGTGGACCTGACAAAGCTATTTATCTCCTCTTACAACACATAAACCACAAACCGAAAGAAATAAAAAAATGGACTATAAAAATCTCAGTTAATGAAAAATGTGCCTTTTTCCCTCACTTGTCAGGAATTTAAACAGAAATTACAAATAAACACAAGTGAACATCTCAATTACCTTCAAATATATTTAAGAAGAGGAAAGGATTCAGCAACTGCTCTGAGCAGTTCAGCTCCTGGCACATTATCTTCAAGAGACCCAAACATGCTGATCCTATTCATGCTCAAGAAATACACCCCAACTTCTTATGTAATTATGAGACAGTATCTCTTTCAGAGCAAAATGCCCCACAGCTGTCACTATTTACAATTCAAACTGAAGAATCTGCTGCCAGCAAACCAAACTTTTATTAGTATTAGTTAGAGGAATTCAAAGAAGAATACATCAATTGTCTTGACACGACAAATTATCTTTCTATGACTAAAGAGACACTAAAGAGAATCAGCAGACCTAAAATGATTCAGGCAGTTTGTTTTTTAAGAAAAAAAGAAGTTAATCTAATGTTCAAAAAAGAAATTTATTAAGTGGCATTTGTTAGCAAAAGATCATGATAAAATTCAGGGTTTTTATACTTTGGATCCTATAGTTTATGTTCTTTGTATAAAGTGCTGAAAATTTAAAACACGCTTCCTGAGTGGTAGAGATTTCTTTTCAGAAGCCCCCCTCACTAAGGTCACTGGTTTTGTTTTCTCCCTAAACCCGCCCAGGTTCTGCCCTCAATGTTGAAAAGCTAAGGGGCAGAAGCAGAGCCTTCTCTCTCTGCTACTTTTAACAGTGAAACTGGATTTATTCACTCTACTGGGAACATGAAACCACCAAACGGGGGTGGGGGGTGCGGGGGGGGGGACATGAGGCCGTGTCACCACGTGACCAGAGGCTTCGTGAGTAGGCCCTTTCCCCTGCTTGCCTGCAGCTAACAAAGCCCTGACAGACCCTCCGAGTCCGCCCCGGGGCTCTGTGCCTTCACCCGGCCACCACAGGAGTACACGTGGGGTCACCCCAGACAGTGACCAGTGCCCCCGCTCCTCAACCTGGCTCTGTGTTGAACGCTGGTTCATCCAGACCCCTGGACTCCTAGGATCTCTTCCACGAATCCTGTTCTTTGCAAACCAGCGGGAGCCACGTGGGATGCCTGGGACGCAGGCTCTGGATGAGCAGAGCCTGATGAGAATGAGCACGAAGTCCGCCCCATACTGAGCACCGGCACAAATGACAGGGATCAGTATCACTGTCATCTCTTCTTATAAACTCCTACAGGCTATGAACTGTGACCTTCAATGTTATACTTCTGCATCGTATGCAAGAAAAGCCCACAGGAAACCCTTAACTCGAGCCACGACCAAAGTACAAACTAGCCGGAAGTTCTAACTTGAGGGGCAGTGAGTCTATAGCAATGTGGCTGCTCAGAAGGGACAAGTGCCATCTCGCAGCTCGGTGGGTTCCAGTAGCTGGTGTCTACACTGCCTGGGTCTGGGGACTGTCTCTACCACCTCCACCCTGATGTCAAACCCTGGACCGGACAGCATTTCTCCTGCATCCAGACATGAGGACAGGGGGGCCAAGGACAGCAGAGCCCAGTAGGCTCTGCCTCTGCAGACCAAATCGCCCCTTCCCTGCTGCTGGGGCAGCTTCCTTCGGAGAAGTGCTTATCTGTCTGCTCAACTAGATGGTCACTCACTTACTCACTTCTTCCTACCCAATCTGGTTTGCACAGGATTTAAGGTAGTTTACAACAGCAAACACACACACACAATTACAAGTGAAACCTCAAGGAAGGGAATCATAAAGATCAGAGCAGAAATAAATGATACAGAAACTAAAAAAAACCACAATAGAACAGATCAATGAAACTGGGAGCCGGTTGTTTGAAAAAAATTAATAAAACCGATAAACCTCTAGCCAGACTTACCAAAAAGAGAAATGACCCAAGTAAGTAAAATCACAAACGAGAGAGGAGAAATAGTAACCAATACCATAGAAATACAAACAATCTTAAGAGAATATTATAAAAAATTACAGGCCAACAAATTGGATAATTTGGAAGAAATGGATAAATTCCTAGACACATATGAACTACTAAAATGGAAACAGGAAGAAACAGAAAATTTGAACAGACCGATTACCAGCAAAGAAATTGAATCAGTAATCAAAAATCTCCCAACAAACAAAAGTCCAGAGCCAGATGGCTTCACAGGCCAATTCTACCAACCATGTAAAGAAGAGTTAATACCTACTCTCAAACTATTCAAAAAATATAAAAGGAAGGAAAGCTTCCAAATTCATTCTATGAAGCCAGCATTACCCTGATAACAAAATCAAATAAAGACACCACAAAAAAAGAGAACTACAGGCCAATATCCCTGATGAACATGGATGCAAAAATTCTCAATAAAACGCTAGCAGATCGAATCCAACAGTACATTAAAAGAATTATTCACCATGATCAAGTGGGATTTATTCCTGGGCTGCAGGGGTGGTTCAATATTCACAAATCAATCAACGATACACATTAATAAAAGTATATGAACCATATGATCCTCTCCATAGATGCAGAAAAAGCATCTGACAAAGTACAACATCTATTCATGATAAAAATCCCTCCACAAAGTAGTAGGTTTAGAGGGAGCATACCTCAACATAATAAAGGCCATATATCGAAGACCGACAGCTAATATCACCCTCAATGGGGAGAAACTGAGAAGTTTTCCTGTATGGTCAGGAACAAGACAGAGATGTCCACTCTCACCACTGTTATCTAACACAGTACTGAAGTCCTAGCCTCAGCAGTCACACAACAGAAAGAAACAAAAGGCATCCCAATCAGCAAAGAAGAAGTAAAACTGTCACTATTAGCAGAAGACATGACACTATATAGAGAAAACCCAAAAGACTCCACCAAAAAATTGCCAGAACTGATAAACGATTTCAGTAAAGTTGCAGGATACAAAATCAATATACAGAAATCTGTTGCATTTCTATACACCAATAATGAAGCAACAGAAAGAGAAATTAGGCAATCAATCCCACTTACAATTGCACCAAAAAAACAGTAAGATACTTAGGAATAAACCTAAACCAAAGAGGTAAATGATTTGTACTCTAAATTAAACTATAGAACACTTATGAAAGAAATTGAGGAAGACACAAAGAAATGGAAAGACATTCCCTGTTCATGGATCGGAAGAACAAATATTGTTAAAATGTCTATACTACCCAAAGCAATCCACACATTTAGTGCAATCACGATCAAAATACCAATAGCATTTTTCACAAGAGCTAGAACAAACAATCCTAAAATTTGTATGGGAACTACAAAAGACCCCGAATAGCCAAAGCAATCTTGAAAAAGAAAAACAAAGCTGGAGTCATCACAATTCTGGACTTTAAGTTATACTACAAAGTAGCAGTAATCAAAACAGCATAGTACTGGCATAAAAATAGACACATAGATCAATGGAACAGAACAGAAAACCCAGAAATGAACCCACAATTATATGGTCAATTAATCTTTGACCAAGCAAGAAAGAATATCCAATGGAAAAAGACAGTCTCTTTAACAAATGGTGTTGGGAAAACCGGACAGCAACATGCAGAAGAATGAAACTGGACCATTTCCTTACACCACACACAAAAATAAACTCAAAATGGATTAAAAACCTAAATATAAGGCAGAAAACCATTAAAATCCTAGAGAAGAACACAGGCAGCAACCTCTTTGACATCAGCTGTAGGACTAGGTATGTCTCCTGAGACAAGGGAAACAAAAGCAAAAATGAACTATTGGGACTACATCAAAATAAAAAGCTTCTGCACACCAAAGGAAACAATCAACAAAACTAAAAGGCAACCTACTAAATGGAAAAAGATATTTGCGAATGACGTACCTGATTAAAGGGTTAGTATCCAAAATATATAAAGAACTTAACAAACTCAACACCCGAAAAACAAATATTCCAATTAAAAAATGGGTAGAAGACATGAATAGACATTTTTCCAGAGAAGACATACAAATGGCCGACAAACACAGGAAAAGATGTTCAATATCACTCATCATCAGGGCAATGCAAATCAAAACCAAAATGAGATACCACCTCACACCAGTCAGAACGGCTAAAATTAACAACACAAGAAACAACAGGTGTCGGCGAGGATGTGAGGATGCGGAGAAAGGGGAACCCTCCTACACTGTTGGTGGAAATGCAAACTGGTGCAGCCACTGTGGAAAACAGTATGGAAGTTTCTCAGAAAGTTAAAAATAGAACTACCCTATGATCCAGCAATTATGCTACTAGGTATTACCAAAGAATACAAAAATACTAATTTAAAGGGATACAGGCACCCCAAAGTACCATAGCAGCATTATTTACAATAGCCAAAATATGGAAAGACACCAAATGTCCACTAACTGATGGATAAAGAAATTGTGGTGTATACATATAATGGAATATTACTCAGCCACCAAAAAGAATGAACTCTTGCCATTTGCAATGATGCGGATGGAGATAAAAAGTATAATGCTAAGCAAAATAAGTCAGAGAAAGACAAAGACCATATGATCTCACTCATGTTTTTTTTTTTAAGATTTTATTTATTTATTTGAGAGAGAGAGAATGAGAGATAGAGAGCACGAGAGGGAAGAGGGTCAGAGGGAGAAGCAGACTCCCTGCTGAGCAGGAAGCCCGATGTGGGACTCGATCCCGGGACTCCAGGATCATGACCCGAGCCGAAGGCAGTCGCTTAACCAACTGAGCCACCCAGGCGCCCCATATGATCTCACTCATATGTGGAATTTAAGAAACAAGACAAACGAGCAAAAGGGAAAAAAGAGAGACAGACAAACCAAGAAACAGACTCTTAACTCTATAGAACACACTGATAGTTTCCAGAGGGAAGGTGGCGGGGCGGGGGGAGATGGGGGAAATAGGTGATGGGGATTAAGGAGTGCACTTGTGATCAGCACAGGGGTTATATGATTCCCATATTGTACATATTACACTATACATTAACTAATTGGAATTTAAATAAAAACTTAAAAGAAAAAGTAAAAGTGAAACCTCAGGACCATGGGATTGGGGCGGGAGGGGGTACATTTTCAGACAAAAAATGAAAACACAACCACAATAGGTCAAATGTCAGTATAAGAAACCCCAAATGTCTTGTCTTAAGTAAACATAAAAGTAGATGCTCAATACATACATTTAACACTTTCTGTACCCGAAATCAGAGGCTGCAGACAAGAACATTTTGTGATGTAAACAGATTCTGTTTGCAGCGTTAATGATTCTAACAGGATGCCTGACATTAAAAAGCTTGCCAGCAGTTTCAGATCTGGAACGCAGAGTCGGCTGCCCAGTGAAGTCCTGTGGCCCACGTATGCCACGCTGACCACGTGACGTCAGGGGCACTCACGTCAGCCCGCGCGAGTGAGAGGAGCCTGTCTGCGGAGCGAGCGCAGCAAACACTCCCCTCTACAAACGCAGAATTTTCATGCAGTCAGACAACCCCAGATGTTTTAAGTTTTCTTACAACCCAGTAGGGAATCAGTTGTTTATTACAGATGAATACTGACAACACATCAAGGATTTAATAAAACATTCCCAGGGTCAAACAGATCCACTTCATTTTCCAATAGTGCCTTCTCCCCTCTCCCCAAAAAGTGCTCTAGTTTTAAACAATTGTATCCTTAAGCTGAATCTTTAATCTAAATCTATGATTTACACTTCATGAATTTTTTAAAAAGTCAACATCTTTTTCTCCCCCCGGAAATCATTTACCTTCGGTCATGCAGAACACGCGGAGAAAAGCCAGGAGCTGCGCAGAGACCGGTGGCTCGGTAAAATGCAGCGCAAACACACTGGAACTGACAAAAGTGGGAACAGCATTAGCCCCCCTGCCTGGGCACCTGCTCCCGGCAAGTGGGATCCCTTCACTCTACACTCTGCAGGGGGGGTCATCCTCAAGGGGTGCCCACCCCTCGCCTGAGCCCTACAAGTACTGCCTTGGATGCCTGGGAAGCGCAGGACGGCAGGCTTCCCGGAGAGGGCGGTGGTGGCGGCCGGCTGGCTGGCGTCTAAAAGCCTTCACCTCAGGGTGCACACGACATGCTCAGAGAATTAAGTGTGCCCGTGGTTCTCAAAAAATGTTAACAATAATTTATGTTGAGTTCACATTTTAATCATTAATCAAATATTGACAAGTTCAATAAAAACAGGTCTGGATAATCCATTTTCATTAAGAACGGTTCCTCCATTCCCCGGAGAACTAATAAATCATAATTCTTGTCTTCTTTATCATTTTGCACCTCAAATGCAAGAAAATCGCAAAGAATTTAGCCAGAAATTCCTGAATGGGGATCATGACTTCATTACAGAAACTAATGGTGGCAAAGAATTAAATGAAACAAATTGATCTGGGTCATTAACCTTTTCAAGGTGAAAGACACTAACGATCCACAGTATTTATTTAACTTAATGAGGACTTCAGGCCGTGTCCCCTGGAACGGACCATGAGTGCTCCCAACGACACAATGATGTTTATCTGAAAACACTGCTAAGTTTCCATGCATCTCTGTTTAAACCTGCTGTGCAGCAGGGACGAAGACGTGAAGAAAAACCACTCTAGAGAAGTTGTATTAACGCACCAACTAAACACTACACAACTGGAAATACTTCAAGGGACACAGGAAAGAGGTGAGCGTTTCCGTACGTACGTGGGGATGCCGGCGCGGGCCAGGACCTCAGCCTTCATGGCGTACAGCCGGTCACTCTTACTCACTCCCAGCTTTATTTTCACTCTGTCGTGTGAATTATTGTCAAAGAAAAAACCACTGTGGATCACAAACTCTGCATTTGACCGAGTGCCATAAAAAATGTAAATCTGAGATGCAGTAAAGAAAAAAATAAAGGGATATAAAAGAAATTCAACATCATTCTCAATACAGAGCAGGGCAAAGGATCAGTTCCCCTATGTTCAACTGGCCTTTCCACTAGGGACACACAACAGCTCTACAGTGACTACGCGTCTGCCCTGCGATCCCGCAACCCCCCGGCTGCCCGGACTGAGCCGGGTGACAGAGGGTGTCTATTCCCGCTGCCGCGGCGCTCCCTGCCTCCTCCCCGTCCCCAGGACAGCGAGACTAGTACATACGGCTGACAACTGGCGACCGTCCCCCCCGCCTCCTTCTAATACAAGAGTCTCTCCTGGAACAAGATCTCAGACAACGTCTGTCAGACACTCATTTCCAGGTCCCGTAGCAATTCGGCACCTAGTCGGAGGGTTTCTAACTCTTCTGCAGGAAGGGCCGATCAGCACTGCGTTAGAGTAATATTGTTGGTTTTGTCTCAGTTGGAACGTCAACGGTCGGTCAACGGCCAACATCAGTTCTGCTTTTGGGGGTTAACTGCTTGGTCATAAGCCCAATAGGCAGAAAGCAGGCATTCAAAGATGCGCATTTTCAAATGTACTGAAAGGCCTGACCCTGCCCCAACCCAGGTTATGAGAGAAAAATTCACGGATTAAAGTGGATATATAAGATCCACGGCTCCCAGTCCCCTTGTTTTCGCCATTTAAATAAACAGCCTCTTTATAAACAAGGTTCTAATCAACAGAAAGAGAGAACAATGCAGATTATGTAATGGAAAATTATGTTCTACTGTCATAACACAAAGTTTATTTTCAGTTGACGGGATCACAAATATTAGGTCAACTGTGCAAGTAAGTGCCTTCACATCTTTTTTCTTTGTGGACCCAAAGCACAGTATGTTTCTTACAGCTGTGGGTCTCAAGATGTGTTCCCTAACCAGTACAAATTCCCCACTTTTCTGAGTTAAATACCCTCTCAAACTGATCCACGCAGTATTAACCCCATGCCTACTGGCTGGCCGACCTTATGCCGCCTACCTGCTCTCCCGCCCGGAAGTCCCGCAGGGCGACACACTCACAGCGATCATCTTCCAGGTTGTAGCCGGTGGTGATCTAGGCGGGGGAGAGGGTGACAACTGTGAGCACCAAGGTCTGCAGTCCCCTCGCTCATGAGGGTCTTTTTCAGCAATCAGAAGATAAAAGATACCCAAAGGTACTGCACTCTGCCTGCTTTACTAAACTGACAAAGAACTGCTTGGTAATTTCCATTAATCCTGTTTATACCAGAGATTCTTATACAGGATTCCGCACCTCAAGTAAAGGACCTAACTATTAGGAAAATACAGTGTACAGATTATCACTCGCTGGCCTCAAGCAGAGTCACTTGTCCCAAAGCAAGCCCCACAGACGGAAGCAGGGTCTCCTGGAGAACTCTAGCTGAATGGCAAATGTCATTTCTCCCACGGTTTGGCCACCAAGAAGTGAAAGCGTGTCTTCCGTTGGATAAAGAATCAGGGAAAAAGAAAAGCCTGTTTCTAGATTACGTACATATTTTACCCTGAAATTAGAGAAATTGAAACTTTCAGATAAGCAAAGGGAAAATAAAATAACTGAGCTGTAGCCTATCCATTTTCAGCCGCGTGCTAGGTTGTTAGCATCTCTAAGCCCGCTGCCCCAAACCCGCTCCCTACACCAGAAACCTGCATCTCTCCCCAGTCTCTCCTGTCCTGGGGGGGCCAGGCAAGTCCATGTCTTGATGCACAAGGCACAAAGATATCCCTGGTGCCACCACCGGTCGGCACCTGAACTCCTAAATTTGGGCTCTTTCCTTCCTCGTCATTGCCCTGCATGGCCGAGGTCCTTACCATTTGCAAAAACCTTCCGACCGGCTTCAAATTCCTCACTGTCCTTCCTGCATCTCTAGAGACACTACAATGTCGACCTCCTGTTTAAAACCTTTTGGTGGCCCTCCACTCTACCCATAGGAAAAAATGCAAATTCTGGAGCACGGCCAATTTATGAGGAGGCCCATGTCTCCCTCCGGCCTCTTGACCGGCCACTGCCCGCCACACCGGTCTCTGCTCCAGCTCCCTCATGCCTAGAACTACCTTTCGCACCTGTTTTACCTGAGCCCTGGCTTCTTTAGGGGTGCCTGCCCTCATCCCACCCAACCACCCTGCACTCCCAGAGCCCCTGTGCTGTCACCCCTCCCCTAACACCTGCCCCACCAGCCAGACCTGCAGTTCCCTTTTCACCTGTGTCCCCAGCAGAGCACCCTGTACCCGACACCTGGAACTCTTTGACAATATTTACTTGATGCATGAACCACCAGGGTAAGGAACAGGGTCCCCAGTTTATATTAAAAGCTCCTTCTGGGGCGCCCGGGTGGCTCAGTCGTTAAGCGTCTGCCTTCGGCTCAGGTCATGGTCCCAGGGTCCTGGGATCGAGCCCTGCGTCGGGCTCTCCCCTCAGCGGGGGCCTGCTTCTCCCTCTCCCACTCCCCCTGCTTGTGTTCCCTCTCTCGCTGTCAAATAAATTAAAAAAAAAAAAAAATCTTAAAAAAAAAAAGCTCCTTCTTAGACGTCCACCCCTCAGAGCAGCCTCCCCAATCTCTTAGATTGTCTGAAACTGTTCATGAATTACTCTGACCTCCTCATTCTGTCCTGAGAAGCAACACTCCAGACCGCCGCAAGTGCTACTTGCTCATAAAGGTATCAACAGCTTGGATCCAAAAACTTACTTCCGAATCCAGGGAACGGCATTTTTAGGATGGAGGGCCATGGGACGATCATCCTTAAGCCCAGTATCCCCAGAACCAATGGCCTATGAACCGTCTACCTAGAAATCCCTCATGCTTCTGCTCTGCAAAAGCCCACAGAGACACAAAAGCGGCGACAGATGAACGCAGCTCCCAGGAATCTGGCACATCTCCGCTCACAGGACAGTTTCAACACTTGATAAGATCAGCTCTGGGAAGTTCCTGCCCAATCTCAAAATCGCTTTTCTGACCCCAAAACATGATTCTGGTGACAAGGATGGAACAGGAACTGCCCGAGAGCTCCCTGCCCTGAAAGTCTGCAGCTCCACAGCCGTGTTTACACGGGCCCCGGCAGGAGCCGCAGAGAGCAGGAGGGCAGGCAGGGAAGCAGGAGGGGCGGGGAAGGGCCAGCAAGAAACAAAAATAATTAGGTAGAAACACGGGAGATAGACAACAGGCCGGGAAGGGAGGCCCACGGAAGGGGAGGCATGGCAATGTTACACAGGGCACCCAGGGCAGCCTTCCTTGAGGAAGTCTGTGAGTGGTCTTGCAGACAGTGTTTCAGGCAGCAGGAACAGCCCATGCAAAGGCCCAGAGGTGAGTGTGTGCTAGTGTCTGAGGAAGCCCAGGTCCCAGACCTGTGTGTGCTGGAAGTATAGTGGGGACAAGTTGAGCGGGGAGCCTTGTCTGTTACTTATAAAAACCTGGGCTTTCACTTTGAGACTGGAAGCCTTGTATAAATCTAAATGTTTTAGATGTTTTAATACTCAACCAGAAAGACCTTGAAAAAGAGCCTCTCTCAATTCTGCTTAAATTTCCAGGAGAGTTACGCTCTCAAATACAAGGGCTGGTTACTCCAATATGCTTTACCTACTAGAACGGACACAGTGGCCTATAAACCACTTGGCAGGGTCCTCTGCACAAACCGAACCAGCTCAAGAAAGGAAAACTGCTGCTTCCGTTAATTCTGAACCAGTCACGCAGAATTTAAAGATACATCTTATCTTACAATTTAATATGATGTCCATGAACTTGTCTGAATCTGTTTCTCCAAGTGGCTAGGAAATGGGCTCACACGTGCCACCATCTCTGGCCCAGGGACCAACCCAGGCTTTTCCCTTCTCCCCTAGTTCCCTGCTGCTCCTGGTCTGGAATTACTGCTGTAGGCTCGGCTCTCCCATCTCTGCTCCCAGAAGCAGGTTTTTGTCAGAAGCACAGCGTTGCCGGGTTACAAATTTCTACCTACTCCCTCGGTGATAGAACAGACAGACGACTGTCAGGATAGACACACACAAAACAGAAAATCGACCATCTGAAAAGCCAAGCCTTAATTTCAAGGACCTTATTTTTAAAAAGAGATTAACTGTTAGTACACGTGATATACAACTTCATAGTGTTAAAATAGATTCTCAAATTCTACCAGACGCAATTTCCCTTGAAGCCTTATAATTACAAGGGAAAACGGTTCAACCAAGGTGTGGAGTTAAGTATTCAGGGAAAACGACCGCTGTAAGAAAAAGCACTACCATCTTGTAGAAACCTTCTAAAGGCCAGCGATGCTTCGCCAGCCCTGGGGTGGGATGCAGACTTTATGAACAACGCTAGAGAAAATACAGCATTCGTGGTTGTCACCCATGCATTACTTTTATTTTGAGATGCACTAACTTTTTGTTTTTTACTCCTAGAGGGAAAAGAGTGAATAGTTTAATCTGATTTACATGAAAGCAACACAAAAACCAGTGTGTATGTAAGGGTATGAGGGCACAAATGCACACAAAGGAGAGAAAGATTTGCACAAAACCATTAACCATGTACCTGGAGGGTGCTGGGCACAGGGACCCGGGCCACGGGTAGGGCCGGGTGCTGGCGGGGTGCTGGAGGGGAAGGGAACCTCCATATTTTATTCCCGCAGAGGCCTCTGTTTAACTGTTGTTTGTTTACAATAGAGTATGGACTTTTTTAAATTTTAGAAATAAAACAATAAACTCTAATGATCCATCAAGTTTGAGAACCAATGATCTAATCCAGGGAAGCAAAAAGAAAAATACTATAGTCAAATATTAAAAGCTTTTTGAAAAATTTTAGAACTTCGATCTTGTAATCAGTGTTAAGATAGCTCTGAAAGGAAAAAAAAACAAAAACAAAAAAGAATGAAAGTAAATAAAATATGCTGCTCCTTACCATGGCTAATTAAATTAAGCATATCTAAACTAAGGCAGAAATATAATTATAAGAGGGGAACTCTTCGTTCTCTGCAAGTTAAGAGTATGCTGGTTGCTACACCTTTCCAAATTAGCACCAGGGTATTCTAGCTTCAAGTGTTTGGCACGTGTTACATATGTTCTGGACATTTCGTGGGGTTAGATGTGAAATACTCATTTACAGCATTTTTTAAGCCCGTTTACAGTACTGCTAATAATAACAAAGGGAGCTGATGTCGAGAAAAGATGAACAAAAAAGTAACCAAGCTGGTATTCCAGTTATTATGCTTAAAAATTCAAAACATTCTGAAGTTGATCCTATTTCTCTATACAGGTATCAGGAAATCTTGCTCAGACAACCACCTCAGCACAGAGAACGCGTGAACCTCCACCGTTGCCGGGAACCCAAGGAACGCTGAGGAACAGGGAGCCGGCTTCCGTGGCTTCCTCCTTTCACATGTCATAATTAACAGTCATCCTAAAATTTCCTTATTTTCTCAGTGTCTCCTACCCGGTGCTTCCCACGCCAACCCTGCGTGCAAGGCCGGGAGCCAAACGCCCCGGTGCGCCTCCTCCTGCCCCAGCACCAGGGAAACCAGCCCCGGCTCCTGAACGAAAGCAGGTTAGGAAGCGGGGCCAAGGATGCGGCAGTGTGTCAGGTGAAGGGGAAGGGAACAGCTAGCAGTCAGAGAACATAACAGCCGGGAACGTAGTCAGCAAAGACAGAAAACAAGGAACAAGAAAAGGAAACACAAGAAAGAAGAAAGGTGTTTTTGTTTTTTTTTTTCCCCTTCAATAAATCAGTATTTTAAGACAGTAAGAAAAAAGAAACTGGTTTAGTCTGTGGTTCAATAAGATAAGAAAATGAATGTTTAGGCTGGAATTATGGCTTAGCAAATAAATGCAGTTCACTGTGGTTTCTGAAAGTGGAATGAGATTCAAGTTCCTGGTTTTTAGGATTCAGCAAACGCAGAGAGAGAAAAACACCAGCTTCTCTCTGTGGGAGGTCGGAGGGGTGGCTCGGCTTGGTTCTGCCTGCTCCCTCTGGAGGGAGGCAGCAAGGGGGCAGGATTTGCAGGTGGAATGTCCACTCTAAAGCTTATTCACCACAGCTCCCCGGATTAAACACAACGCAGAGGGGGCGTTACCAGGCCGTTGGTGTGATTGCACATGTCCCATAAAGGAATCAGCGCCAGGGTCACCCGGGAACCGTCCTCCGTGGGAATTTGGTTTTGTCGAGTCATAACAGAAGAGACTGCCCACCTGTAACGATCAGAAAAGAGGTGAACTACGGTAGGCACATTTCAGAGCCCAGTGCAGTGAGACCTCAACGAGAAACTATGGTTTGTCTGATGTCTCACCAGTGTTCAAAACCTTAACCTAAGTACCACAGGTCATCGATGACTGGCCTTCTTCATCATCATTTAAAATTAAATCTAGGACTGGGGGAGGAAGGGGAAACTGGGAGGGAAAAGGAGACAGAGAAAACCCAGGGGTGAGGATAAAGGGAGGATGTTCCATCCAGGGAGACAGAGGGTCTGGAAGGAGGGGCGGAGACAGAGATCTGCAGGCCTCCAGTCTTCACCGCGGCCGGGAGCCGCCCCGCCCCGCCCCCGAGCCCGCACCACCTTCTCCTACCCAAATGCTAACTCTGCACCTGTACGAAAGCTCAGTGAAAGGCAAACAACATAACTCCTTTCTGACCAGAAACCCTCTAAGAACTCAACAAAATGTGGCATGTTATTTTTTATTGCGTTGTGCAGTCAATTAAATCTTTTTGTTTAAAAAAAATTATATGATTTCACTCATATGTGGAATTTAAGAAACAAAACAGAGGAGCATAGGGAAAGGGAGGGAAAAATAAAACAAGATGAAATCAAAGAGGGAGACAAACCGTAAGAGACTCTTAATCATAGGAAACAAACCAAGGCTTGCTGGAGGGGAGAGGGGCAGGGAATGGGGTAACTGGGTGATGGGCATTAAGGAGGGCACATGATGTAATGAGCACTGGGTGTTATACGCAACTGAAGAATCACTGAACTCTACCTCTGATACTAATAATACACTATATGTTAATTAACTGAATTTAAATTTTTATAGAAGTCCCCACTTTACACTAAAATAGTCTGTTTAAAAAGGGGGAAAAGTCCTCATGACCACCCCACATGAAAGTTAATCTCCACTATCACCTGGCCACCTCGGCTAATTCCCCCACCACTACAGGTGAGGGCAATTTCTGTGTGGTTATTAAAATGCTGATCCTTACCCCAGCTGTCCATTATAACGTCTGCAGGACTACCTGTCTGGGGGCTTTAACTGGTCACAGCAGGTCACTTCTTACTGAAGTACTTGCCACTTCCAAGATCCCCAAATCACTCAGAAACCAGCCCCCCAACACATACAATACAAAACACACCAAAGATGTAAACACACACACACCACAACCATCCCCCGCCACACCCCAACACACACACACACACACACACACACATCCTCCCCACACCAACCTGTAGTCCTCATAAGTGAAAGCATCCTTCAAGGGCAGTTTGTTGGCGTGAGGATGGGTCTGGGAATTAGAAGTTTCAGAAAGCAGACGTGAAAAGAGAAGAAGGGAAAACAGAAATCAGTCAGCAGAATTTCATTATTTAGCTGCCTAACAGATCCTAACAAGAGCCAAATGAAGCAGGAGGCGTCCAGCCGCGCTACTGAGGGATCATCATGCTATTATGCTCTCATACATCACTGTCAACTTAATTTGTTGTGCCCAGCAGCCGCCATAAATCTGCTTCTTCATATTTCGATACCAGAACCCACAGACATCACGCAAAAATTAAATTTAAGGTGGACTGACTTTACCAAAGGTGGGCACACCCACGCTCTGAGAATCTGATCCAAACCAAAACCGGGAGCCTCCGAAGTTAGGGGTCTGTCCTGGCCTTCCTCAAATCCTTCTACCCACAATCTGCACATCCCTCATGAATACATTTCAAATCTCGTCTTATATCGATAAAAGGAGCAATTAAAGGCACTCTAATAAATTGAAGGTTCTTTCATTTATCTCCGACTTAAATCATTTGGATGGAAATCAACTTATGTGCAAATGAATCATATACGTTGTAAATGCAGCTCAAGTACAGAAAATCAAGAGAGTTGGTGAAATCATAAATTTTACAAACAAGACAAAGATAAAACAGAGAATGGCCTATTTAAATCGGACTACATTTCACCCCCTCTGGACAAAAGAACATTTGGTAACGATGTCTCAAACGTCACACTTATGAGAACATTTTATCCATTCCCTATTCTCTCAGCACAACGACCCCCCCCCCGACCCTGGACCTTTCCAGCGCTCAAAAACTTTGTCTCAGTTAAGAAATTAAAAGCTGTAACAGCATAATTTTAATCTTCGGTTTCAATTCCGGTCTGACAGACAGACGGCAGCAAGTGACCAAGTGAGCAAACGGCCATCCCTGAGATGCGGCGAGACCCCGCTGTCGGTCTCTGCGCCCGCTGCTGATGCATGCAGCTCTGGGCAGCATGCAGTTTGTATCCTGACGCATTAGCATCACAAGTGCACGGCCATTTATCATCGCTCCCTGTAATGTACTTGCTGGCACTGCGCGCAGGACAGTAGGGGATGAGGTAAAAGTGGCTCAAACCGTAAATCAATTAGAAAACAAAAGCTTGTGCTCAGTGCGCAATTTTAGGCAAATTATATACTACAAAAGGCTGCCAGTTGGGTGTTAGCTCCCAGGTGCCTGCTCTCTCCTCTAATTCTTCACCCAGTTTTAACCCTTAGGAAGAAAAGTCAAAACATAATATGTGTGTAAGTCTGAAATGTTGCAGGAACATAAATGAAATTAAAGAAGGTATGTCTCAAGTCAATATATAAAATGACATATCGCCCAGAGGAATTTTCCAGCTGCTGGTGGCAGATTGGGATTTTCTGTTAAAAAAATCCGATGCTTTGGTCAACCCTAGCGATGATGCGAGAATCCCAGAGCTTGAAGCTTCTTTCCCTCTTCTTTGTAATGAATGAAATGTAAGGCTATGTTCTAACAGCCTAAAGATGCTTTCCATTTACCATTATAAAACTTAACCATAACAGTGTTCAGGTTTTTCCTTATAGAAGTACAAATTCAGCAGATAAGAACTGTCCCTCCACAAACCCAGAACCACTGTGCCGGTAAGAAGCACCACAGCAAGGACCTCGCCTGCCGAAACCCCCTCACTTACAATACAGTGACACTTCACATCTGCGCCACGGCGGACGGGGGCAGGATGGTGCACATGCCATCGCATTTCAAACTCTAGGACGTGGGAAGCATTGTTGTTTTTGCTATTTTAAAATACTTTAATTCATTTAAACTGTGGAATGCACTATGGTATTTTGAGAGTTGGTAAATTCCAACACTCAATCCCACAGGTATTAAGAATTTGACCCACCCTCCCAAAAAGTCTGACTTACTGAATAAAAGGATGACAATTTTCAAAACTGGAATGCTGAATGTCAAAACGACTTGAGCAACGATCTTCCACCACTGCAGGACCCTGAAACAGCTGTGGACTCTGCAACCATACTCAAACAAGGTGACCTCCTCAAGGGCCAAAAAGATGGAAAATTAACTCTCCAAAATGTTTCCCTTCCTCCTATTTATATACCTTTCTTACCGAAAAGAGAAGTTCATGCTCATAGTCCTGATGAAGTCATAAAGACAACTCAGGGGGAAAAAATTAGCAAACGCTTTCTTCAGAGTAATTTTGATGATTATTTGGCTGTAGGGTTATGTAATATTTGCAGAATCCGTTAGAAATAATTGTTCTTATATGCTTAAAAATTAGGGTGTGCTTCCTGTATGTAATTCTGGTATAAAAAGCTATTCTGCCACAGAACACATGCACTTAACAGTTATGCTGAGGCACAATTTAATTTGACACTATGGAGAACGGCAAGTAACTTCCATTTCAACAGGGCTCTCACCACTGTGGCACTATCGCCACCTACTGGCCTCAGGGTAGAACAGGCAGAGCCGCAGAGTTCCTGAATTCCTGAATTCGTTCCCAGGGTTAAGGCCTAACAAAGCAACTTACCGTAAACCCAAACTAGGGTTTATCTAGAATAGCTGTTTCAGCTTTACTCAAGCAAAATTTGGTTTCCAAAAAAACAAAACAAAACAAAACACCTACCCTACCTTTTAAAAGTATTGTACAATAGTTTTACAAGGATCTTGAACCACTGAAATACTGAAAATGATTTGCGTGTGAAAAACATTTAACTTTGAAAAGAAGTATTTTCACATATCCTGAAAATATGAACAAGAATAAGAAACATACCGGTTTCAAACACTCTTGAAGCTCTGGACCCGATGATTTTTTTTTTTTTTTTAAACACCAAGTCTTTTTTCCACTGAAGACCAGTTAAGGTTTTTAAAAACACATCTTGCAAAAATTTTAATATTAACCCAAAGTTATTTGAACGTTCCTAAAATGTTCTTGGATGAAGTCTTTAAGGTCATCCATTAAAGGCAGGATAACTAAACATTCCTCACCTTATAAAGCAAAATCTGATCAAGGCTTTGTTTATCATGACATATCTTCTCCAAGAGAAGACATTCCTAAGTTGTACTTTAAAAATAAAAAAGTAGGGGAGCCTTGGTGACTCAGTTGGTTAAGCATCTGCCTTCGGCTCAGGTCATGATCCCAGGGTCCTGGGATCGAGCCCCACGTTAGGCCCTCTGCTCAGCGGGAAGCCTGCTTCTCCCCCTCCCGCTCCCCCTGCTTGTGTTCCCTCTCTCGCTGTGTGTCTCTCTGTCAAATAAATAAATAAAATCTTAAAAAAAAAATAAAATAAAAAGTAAATTAAAACAGAAAGCTTATTCTTTGTGGCCAATTAGCTTTCGCTGGGACTCGTTTACGAGACATAGATATACCTGGGATGGGTGAGGAGGGCCATCAGGCAGTGTCAGGGGCAAGTCTGGGATCTGCCAAAGCATTAACTCCCTCCCCACCCACACCCCCATAAAGACAGGGTTAGACACTAGCCACAGATTTTTCTGCAGATTTTTAAGTGATTGATATTTTTACTTTCTTGAGCATTATAAATATTTGAAGTTGGAGAAATAAACAGTTGGTGAAGCTCATAATCAGTCTTGAAGCCCTGAAGAGCTCACTTTTAAAAGAGGGCTCCTGTTTCCTTATGTGAATGGGCAACACCCAGTGAAGTCCTCCTCCATCCCCTTTTCTGCCAAAAGGAGGTATTCCAGATGAGACGCAGTAATATTGTATCCAGTACAAAATAATCACTGTGTTTGGGAAAGATTAATATCTAAAATCGCTTGTTTGGCTTCAATAAAAAGAAGTAATATTGCTAAATATGTAAGTATGACATTTTGAAGAATTTACCATATCGCATGGGTCTGGTAGCTATGCTTAAGGAAATTAAAAACCACTACAGTCAGCATATTTGATCCTTATTAAAGTTCTGTCTTGAACTATCACTCACATAAAACAAAAATAAACCGAGAGGAAATTCAAATAAAACCTATGGATTACAAGAGTTTGAAGACGAAAAAAATGAACAATATTCTGGCTTTAAAAAATTGATTTAGCATGCAGCTTCTCTTTATAGTCCCTTGATAAAAATGAAATCTCCCTAACAAACACTTAATAAAACCTGTCAATATCTCTGGAAAGAAAAATGACACAAATGCATTAAGTATTAAATACCCTTGGAAAAAGTCACATATTCCATGAATTTTTGATGCACTATCTTGACATTAATGTAAAACCTTGGTATTTGTAATTGACAGAGATTTAATAAAGTGTAAAAGAAGATGGCTGCAGTGCAGCGTGCCGATTGTTGGGGCTGATCAGAAATGAGAGATACAGACGTGCGCTTAAACTAGACCAACAGTTAATACGTGTTACACGGATCAGCTGCAGCCTTCTTTTAAGCTCATACAACAAACCTTTGTGGAGAACCAAAATAAGCAGACTTCGTTATTATGTGAATTCCTAATTCAGAAACATCTAGTATGGGAAACAGCTTTGCAACAGCTCTGCACACGAACAAAATGCATTTGACTTAAAGTTTGTTTTCTTTTTAACATCTAACAGAAAGCATTTTTAAAATAAACCAAACCAAAGATAAATGCTCCCACATACAGAGAGAGAGGCATTTCCTAAAATAATTCTCAGAAGGAACTGTATTCAACCTGAGGACAGATTCAAAACCCTCTAAGGGGAAAAAAAAAAAAAAAGGATTAGAACACGCAAATGGCCTCTAAGACACAAACACCAAGCACTTCAAAATCGGATCTCTACTTTTCTAAAAAACACTCACCTCCACCTACACAGACTTTTATGAGGAAATCAAGTTGGACACATTTAATAATCACCTTCAAAGAGGCATTTAAACATACTAAAAGGAGAGTGGCTCAGTTCATAAAAATGACTCCTAAATACTGTATTTTAAACAATTTATAGCCTGCTATAATATGTACTTGTTAATTTCAAAAATATATATGGTAGTTCAGTGACTTAATAATGGTACTATAGTATCAGGAA